ACCCTAAACTTCTAAACCCTTAACCAGTCCTAATCTTAGGGATATCTTCCTGTCGGGATCTTTCTCGTAAAACCCTAAACCCTATACCCTAAACCCTAAACCCTGAAAGCCCAAAGCTTCGACTCAAGCCCCGAGGTCCCCAAAACCCTAATAAAAAACCTGAAACCCTAAAGCCCCTCGAGGCCTTAAAACCCTTGAATCCCATAAACCTGAAGGGTTTAGGGTTTAGGGTTTAGGGTTTAGGGTTTAGGGTTTAGGGTTTAGGGTAGTCCCATAAACCTTAAGGGTTTAGGGTTTAGGGTTCAGGTTTGAGGGTTTAGGGTTCAGGGTTCAGGGCTTAGGTTTCCTAAACCCCAAAACCCTGCAACCGTAAAGCGCAACCTTACACCCTAAACGCTAAATCGATCTGTCCAAGTAACGTCTCCACTCGCAGCGGATGTCCCAGCAGACCACAGCTGACGAAGATCACAATTGCCTCAGCAGACACGAAACTCAGAGGGAGTAAGGGACCCGAATATTGTAGATAGCAGGATACTCCCCCCTAAACCCTAAATCCTAGACCCTAAACCCTAGACTCTAGACCCTAGACCCTAGACCCCAAACCCTAAACCCTAAACCCTAAACCCCAAACCCTAGACCCTAGACCCTAGACCCCTAGACCCTAGACCCCAGACCCTAGACCCTAAACCCTAGACCCTAAACCCTAAACCCTATAGACCCTAAACCCTAAACCCTAAACTCTAGACCCTAGACCCTAGCCCTAGACCCTAAACCCTAAACCCTAAACCCTATAGACCCCAAACCCGGAACCTGGCCTGTACGGAGCGGTGAAGAATCCCGCACCGGTGCCCAGTAAGCTGGAGATGAGGATCCAAAATCCGAGAGGGCAGTCTGCCACGAAGCCGAGGACGTCGGCCCTGAAAGAGTTGAGTTAGGGTTTAGGGCTTAGGGTTTAGAGTTTAAGGTTTAGGGTTTCTGTCAACTTAAGCACTACACTCTCAACTTGTGAGGGTGTAATTAGTGCTTAAGTGGGCTTGAGTTATAGCTTCTGTGCTTTTGTTTGCGTCTGTGTGGTGTTGTTGACCTCTGCTTTCCGTCAGACCCTTGCAGTCGAGGGTTTAGGGGCACTGGGCAGCTGCGTCGGGTCTAGGGTTTGGGGTTTAGGACCTAATGCACCAGGTTGCCGGAATGCACGAAAAGCCTGCCGCTGCGAAAAAAAGGAAAAGACCGGGAAAAGAGCTATGAACGCCAAGCTTCTTGTAGGTCATCGGCATCGGAAGGACGTCCTGCATGCAGAGTGTTGCAGAAACCTCGGCAACGTGCGGAGAAGGGGTCGCGCAGTCAAGATGAGGGGATGCACTCTACCTAAACTCGAAACCTAAACCCCTAAACTCCTAAACCCCTAAATCCCTAAACTCCTAAACTCCTGAACCCCTAAACCCCTAAACTGGGGTTTATAGGGTTTAGGGTCTAGGGCTTATAGGGTTTATAGGGCCTTTTGGGTTTATAGGGTTTATAAGGTTCTTAAGGGTGTTTTTTCGGGCTGATAGGGCTTATGGGTTTGGGGTTTATAAGGTTTAAAGGGTTTATCAGGTTTATACAGTTTATAGTATAGGGTTTATAGACTTCTGAGGCTTATAGGGTTCAGGGTTTATAGAGTTTTTACGGCTTATAGGGCTTATTATAGGGTTTATAGGGATTCGTGCCCAGGATCCCGAACTCTCCAGCCCAAAGCAACTCCAAAGCTCTGCAATGCAGGGGCCTTAATGATTAGAATCGGGTGCTGAGATGCATCCCCAAAGCTCACCCTAAACCCTAAACCCTTAAACCCAGAACCCTAAACCCTAACCTCCAAACTCCACACCACAAGTCCTCCTCAGCCCTAAATCTCGAGCTGACAGGCCGGTATGGACCAAGCAACGACACAGGCCACGAGCCAGGATAGCATGGCATTCGGCCAGCCGCACTGGAAGAAGAGGGATAGAACCTTCCACCTGGCACATGTAGCTTTTGGGGGGGTCTACTGAGGATTCGCAGCCAGCTCCATGTAGTTCTGTGAGACCTGATTACATGAGTCTAGATATGTGCCTATATTCACTCTCCTTCTCATGATTCGACTTAAAACTGCCCATGGCCCCACTACCCAGAGACTCCTACAACCCTTAATTAAGGAATATACCTTAAATCATATCAGGGATCCTACTATAATTTAAGGTACATTCCTTAATTAAGGGTTATTGGAGTCTCTGGGTACAGCCCTAACCTAACGCCTTCTATCCCGGGTTCATTCTAAGTCTCGGCCGCAACAGGTAAGGGTGCAGGGCGTACAACTCAGCCGCTCCGGCACAAGGACCCGAAACTCAAAGAACGCCCTCAGACGCAACCAGCCTCCCCGATGTCCTCCAAGTATGAGATATGAAGACCTGTGTGTAGGGTTTAGGGTTTAGGGTTTAGGGTTGGGCCACTTGAAAGCTCGAGATGCGAGTCGCCCCGTTTGAGACTCAACAGCATCTGTCATGTTTGCGCATGATTTCTGTGCAATCGGATCGCACGTAATAGAGGGGCCTAGATAAGTACCTGTACTGTTTTGGGGTTCCTTATTATAAGTATAGTATAATGGGCCCCCCCAAACCCTCTTCTAATTATTAAGGCCCCTATGTTACCTATTTTCCCGTTATCCAATCTAGGCATGCCCCGGATGGAAAAGCTCTCCTTTGCTGTGCAACGTACTGCAAGGCAAAGGCAGTCCACAACTGGTTCTCTCGTGGAGTTTCCTACAGGAGTCTTAAGAACTAGAATAGGGTTTAGGGTTTAGGGTTTAGGGAGTCTAGGGAGTTTCCGAAAATGAAGGATACCTTATTTGGGGGTCCTTGTAATAAGGATCCTACCATTTAGGGTGCTATGTTAGGGTCCCCTACTTTCGGAAAACCCCCATATGGTATTTACCGGGAGTCTACACCATGCTTGCATTTGCTGGTGTTGCAGTGCTTCGGCAACTTAATCAACCTTGCCTCTTGCAGCTCTCTGGACAGGGGTTCACGGGTATGCATTTCTCACTGGAAATCGCAGGCCCTGTCAAAAACCAGAGCCATGCCAACCCTAAACCCTAAACACTAAACCCTAAAACCCTAAACCCTAAAACCCTAAAACCCTAAACCCTAAAACCCCAAACTCCAAACCCTAAACTCTGACCCCCCCTCCCAATCTGCGGTTGAGTTTTGGCATCTCCCATCTCTCGAAATGAGGCCGAAGCCTCTCGGGAAGCTCGAGGTTAAGAGCCCGAGGGCTCCATGTAGCCCGTATATACTTAGGGTTTAGGGTCCAGGGTTGGGG